CTTCGTCACCAGAAGTGTCCTCTCGGTAGTCGTAGATCACGCTAGCAGAATCGATAGCTTCACTTAGTTTGTGGCCATCGAAGTCTCTCCCCATTGCATACCGAGATACAGAGTCCGCTGGATTGCATCCAGAAGGAATATGTCGCACCGTGGCATCGAGCTGAACGCATAGATTACGTATAGCTTGAAGCCGCCTTCTTTCAGGTGCTGGAAGTCGAGTATCGTTCGATGGTCTCCTTAGCCGATATACTGTGAGCTCCGAGTCGATCGCCACAACCAGTCGATAGATAGGTACCCCGGGGCTGAGCTTACTCAATGGGGCTTGATTCTCCCCATAGATGCTCTTGATCGGTAGATATGCCGATAATGCCTGGGTCCAGAGCAAACCTCGATAGAGGGCATCTAACTCTTTCCTAGGGATAGACCAGGATAGAGTAGAGTTTGTATACAAAGCTCCTTTAGCTGCCAGACGCACGTCAGGTCTGGATTTTAATCGTAGATCGGCGCCCCAAGCATCCTTAGATGCATCTGTGCTGAGGACCAGCTCTGCATCATAGGGAGTATACCTTGACGTAGATATAGTTTTACATACTTGGGTAGTTTCGGAGGCCCATCTAACAACCTGCTGCTGTAACTGATAGGGGATCATTTGATCCCACTCTTTGATCTCCTGGCAGATTCGCCGCCATATAGATCTAGCTCGAATATCCTGTTCTATGATTAGACCCAATGGATCATAGAGAGAAGCCAGGATGCTACTAGATGAGCGCTTGCTCATATATGTAAGGCCCTCAGGTGGCTTAGCAGACATCGTGGGATAGAGGCCATCGTTAGACGGTAGATAGTCGTACCCTAATAGATGTCCACGTGTCTCGATACCCGCTACAGATTTGCAGATCCAGTTCTCGAACTTCTTCAGGTCTTCAGCGGGTAGATCATGTCCTTTGAGTAGGTATGATACAAATCGGTAGTTGCGTTGAGCTTCAGCAACTGTAGATCCTAAAGCGTAGATGTCATCAACGAACTTTAGCATCTTCACGTGGCTCGGTATAGGTGGACCGTCATATAGATAGTCATAGGCTATGACTATCTATATGACTCATAGCCTTCTTCCGAAGGATAGAGTAATACACTCTTGATCCTTCCTGGGTCGATACTTTTCACAGCGACTTCGAAAGTGTCTCCATCGATTTCAGCCGCTAGTTGACTCAAGTCGTAGATCTCGTCGATGGTATCATCCACAACACTATCCAACATATTAGGTGCCGCCCTAGTTCCAAATCCAACACGTGACCATAGGACCGTGAAAGGTCCAATACAGGTATACCCCACATAGGGTACGTCTGCACGGCTAGATTGCATTCTACAGAATGCTTTACTCAAATCACCGGCAACGAAGTACTTAGATGACCTCAATAAGAGTAGAGTACCATGTAGACTATTCTGTGGATAACCGCCTCTTAGAGAGTATAGATTTGCCTCTCTATAGTCTAAGACTATACGGCAAGGCGTAGTTGGATGTTGGTCTCGGTAGACTAGATGACTAGCTGTGAAGTGCTCTGGCAGAGGGGCGAGTGACCCTTGATAAGGGGTGCCCTTACTCAGCTTCTCCCAGATAGATTGGCACGTAGATGCTTCTGGCTTAGATGGGTCGAGGCGATTATCCTTGACGATAGCACAGAAGCCCTTGGATATGTAACCATCGAGTGCCCGATGGAACATTTCCATCCGCTCACCCGTGGTGGCCTTAATAGATGCCAATCCTCGTTTCCTAGCCATATGATAGTTATATCGCGGCCTAGATGTCGGACTTCTCCACGGCACTTGAGGTCTAGCTCGTCCTAGAGGGGCCGAGCTATCTGCAACCCATTCTCGGTTGATGGCTTGCTGAGGTGGTAGGTCGTCCTTATTGATGGTAGGTAGACTTTCGCCAGAGCTCACGGCCTCTTCG